TGTATTATCATTTGAATCCATCTAGAAATCTATTACTTAAACTTTTTTGTTTTGTTTTATCTTCTCTCTATCTTTATCTTATAGATTAAGAGAAAAACATTTAAGAATCGTTTTGACAAATGAATACAAGTAAAAGGAAACACAAAAGAAAAAAAAACACAAACTAGGTTTACAAACTAATTGATGATGTACAGTTTGTACTAATAAAAATAAACAACAGAATTACGATAATCATTTTTTTTTTAATTTTTTATTATTATTCTGCATGTGTTATAGGATAATCATGAATTAACGAACAAATATTATTCAATGCTGGATCAATACTTGTACTGTCAGTTCGTTGAAGACAATTCCCATCGATATGTGTTGTTTTAATTTTTGTTCCACCACTATTGTACAATATTTCACTTCTGGTTCGTGCAACTGGTCTTGTATCTTGTCCGATAAGAAAATCATTCAATGCATCTTGTGGTGTTCGATCAGGTCGACAATTCTAAAAGAACAAAAAAAAATTGTTTATTTAAAAAAACAATTTCATGTTGTTTTTTTTCTCTAACCTTTGGTTTATTACGATGTGTATTAACAGCTTCGATTGGTAATGGTATACATTCCATTAAACAACCATAAGCTACTGGTGTTAGTTTAATAACGGTATGTAGTGGTACTTTAGTATATGGAAGATCATCTATAATAACATAGTTCGAATAATGTTATTCTTTTAGAAATAAAAAATAAAATTTTCAATATACCAGCATCCTTATTAAGAAAATAACCAAGTATACAACGTGCAACAGCTTGATGACAAATAACAAGAACATTCTCAGCTCGTTCTAATTCCATTATAACTGGTTCAAGACGTGCGACAAGATCTTGATAAGACTAGAAAAATAAATAATTTTAATATCTATTTTCTATTAATTGCATTTTCATGTACTTCTCCTCCTGGATAACGATAATAAAATTTTGATTGATCACGAGCAGCAAGTTCCTCAGGATAACGTTCAGCTATTTCCATATATGTTAAACCTTCACATATACCCTATATAAAAACATAAACAATCAAAGTCATCTATGATATTAATCATAAGTGCTTTTTTTTTACAGCATTTATTTCATTTAATGCTTTCCATTGTTCTTTAGGAGCATTGATTTTAGCTGCTGTTTGAATAGATCGTTGCATTTGACTTGTCCAAACAATTAAATCCGGAAGATTTTCTTTTTTTTTAATAATAAAAGATTAATCCATAAATTTATTAAAAAAGAAAAAAGAATTTTTTTATTATTTACCACTAGCCATATATTCTGCTAATGCTTCTGCATACTAAAATCAAAAAAAAAATTTTCAATTATTTTGAATAGAACTAAAGTCACATCTAGTAATCTACAACTTTTAGTACTCATATGAGAATACTCTATCTTATCAATTAATTCATAGGAAACACTATTAGTTTTTCTGTCAAGTTTTCCGAAATGAGATTGTCTCAAGATGAATATATAACAAGGAAAAAGGAATATATTTTGATCAATATTAGAGCCCAGCATCGAAGATACAATAGTAAAACAGGCAAATATTTGTAATCCACTCTTTTGAAGTTTCACAAATAAGTTTCAAGAGAATAAAAAACATCAGAGAAATATCCTTATTAACAAGTAGCCCAATACAAAGTACATATATGTTAGTGAAAGAAATTTTCATAGTTTTCAGCATCAAAAATTTTGATTCCACAGAGCTCTAATCGATACAAAGCTTATGTTTTTCTCTTGAATCCTCGAAAACAGTTAGCAAACGTCCAGTTCAAAGTTACTCATTGCTTGATTGATAAAAATAAAGCATTTTCCCTCTATCTAATACTAAATATTTTCATTCAATGATTATAAAAATATACGCACCAATTTTCCATTTGTTGATAATACTGGATCACCACCAAGACGATATTGTTGATTTAATGCTGATTCTCCATGCTAAAATTTCACAATTAGAAAATTGATTATTTTTCTTTCTTTGTTTTTCTTTTTAAATTGAAATTTACTCGTGTTAAATAAATCGTTCTTGGTAAAATATGTATATTCATTAGAAAATATACAACACGACTTTGAATATGACCTTAACAAGAAAGTGTTTGAAATAGACATTAATCAAAGGTGATTTTTTTTTGTGAATAATTACCGCCTATTTTATTCACAAGAAAACGTTCACCACAATTAAATATTTTAATAAATGAATAATTTCTTTCTGATGTATCATCGATTGTTTCATAACGTTTTTGATATTGTTCAATACGTGAAAGAAAATCCGAAACAGCTTCTTCTTGTGGAACATCTTTATAATCAGGACTTTTTAATTTTACTTCCTAGATTTAAAAAAAAGAAAAAAAGAACTTGATTCAATTGTTTCTTTTTTTTTTTATAAAATTAACATACTCGAATATTTGATTCAATGATTTCTGGTGAATCACATATTGATTCAACAAAAAATACACGAAAACAAAATGTTTGTGTACAATATCCGTAAATACTTTGACGACGTTCACTTGTTGTATTTGTTGCATCAAATATAGCTACTTCACCATCATGAGCTAGATAATTGCACATATCTTCAAGAGCTTGTTGAGCACATTGACTAGAAATTTTAATTTTTTTCTTTTTTCGTTTATAATTTTCTTTTAAACAAAATATATTTCATACTTTCGAACAGCAACTGCTTCAACATTATCGGGATCAAAGAAATCTTTGTCAGCATAGAATTTAACAGCATCACGGCGATATTCACCAACATTAAAAACTAAAATAATAGAATCCATTGACATGAAATTCTTGAGGAAACATTCTGATCTGTTCAAACGCTTTTTCATTTAAGACTATTGCCATGCGATTGATCATAATGAGTAATTTTAAAAAAAGTCTGTTTTAATTTGGTTTTCCATAACCTATTCTTGCTAAGACATTTACATTCGAAAGAAATGTCTGTTTTGAGTTACGTTTTGAAAAGAAGAATGCTTCTAGTAACTATAAGACCTGATGGGGAACAAACTGATTTCTTGATTTCTAACGATTTTTCTTATTTCAGGTGATTTCTATCGCTGGAAATCAGTTTTATCTGTTCACTACTAATCAATAGGAATTATCAGTAATGTTTAGAAATGAATGAAAATCATTAGAAATCAAGAACATTTACTAAAAATATTGGCAATTGTTGAAAGTCAAGAGAATCAATTACACGTATTAGAAATGAAGACTTTACTTATAATCTTTGTATTGCTGACTGTCTATGATTTAGAGTGACTTTCATTGATTTCTAATAGCTTCTGATGGTTTTCGACAACTTTTAACCAACTTCAGTCATAATTCGTATCCTTAAGGCGTTATAACAATTGTTAGTATAAAATCAATTTGCTTCCCCTCAATAAGACCTATTTATAGACGATATTTAAAATTCGAAATTTGATTATCCAATCTCTCAACGACTGTATGCTCATAATGCGAAAAATTGAGTAAAACATCTGTAATTCGATAAGTGAAAATCAGAAGAGGAAATCAAAACTGACTTTTTTAATTACTCATCTTGATTGATCGAATAGCAATAGTCTAAAGTCAACAGCGATTGAACAATTGAGAATATTCCCTCGTTAATCCAATAAACAGTTGTTGAGCATTAAAGATCTCTAAAATCATTACGTAATATTTAAACAGTCAATGTCTATTGGAATATTACATAGTTACTTTAAGAATCTTCATTCAACTACTGTTTTCGCCATTAATGATATTTTTCAAGAGAAATAATTATGGTCTTCTTATAAAAATACTTCTACAAAATGGCAAGAAAGACATATTTATTTAATCTATAGACTAATAGTCTTGGCTAGACACGTGCTGATATTATTTAGATGCGATCTCTTCTTCTTCTTCTTCTTCTTATGACCTTATATATACCAGAATGATTTTTGCATAAATACGAAGCATATCATTATTGATATTGACGTATATGTTACTGCAACCTTTGTTTTCTTATTCAGTACATTCTATTCTTGATTTAATACTGAAATGATTTCAAGTTTTATCGTTCGACAAAGAGTAAATTTTTATAGTAAATTAAGTTCCTTTTATTTCCTTAATGTAAATCCAGCAAGAAGTTAACGGAAAGAACTCTTTTTTCAGAGACTTTTTTTTGTGTTTTTTTAGTGCATTTATCATTCGCCCATTACGGACAGATAAGAGATACTTAGTAAAAAAGAGAAGTAATGGTATGCCAGGAATTCGAAGGAAAATTTTTTTGTAAACGTTGCTTTAGTTTGAATAAAGGAAATATTCAAGAAAAAGAATATCTATGTAATAACGATCAATATATTATATTCAAAACAATAACATATTATCATCCAAACTCGAATTGTAATAGACCTTAATTATCATGACATATAAAGGTTTTTATGGCATCAACTGTTTCTCTAATGAAAATCAATATCATTGAATATGAACTATCAGCTTTTTCATTTGAAATTTTTTATTGCAAGAATTTTATGTTAGTATCTAGGTCATAGAATGACATATTTACATCATAAAAACGAATCAAAACAATAAAACGGAAAGACTCTAATGACCTTTATTTGCATAGAAAACGATATCTAGTTAATTGATGCTTGTGTCAAAAATGAATTCCTCTCATTTTTTTTCTTTTTCTTGTCAAATATAATAAATATTCATTTATTCATTCAATATGTTATTTAATTCCTCTTTCTTTTATGAATAACATCATTAGTAGTCTAAAGTACTGTACTGATTAAATAGTATATGTATATCCTTCAAACTTATGCTTCAAAACGTAGATAGACATTATAAAAAAAAATCAATTTTTATGTATTAGTAAACTTTAAAATTGTATTTATACCTTTTGTTTTGATTCCAATCCATTGCAAATAGCGTGCCAATTTTTTTGAAATGTATGTCTTTAATTAAGAGAAAAAGGATTCCAAAAATATTATTGATTTTCCTTTTTTGTTTTTGTTCTAAAAATGTCTTACTTTGCCTCGTGCTGGTAATCCACACATAGCCTAAAACATTAATGAAATGAGTAAAACGTAATAGAGAAAAAAAAAACATGTCTACATACAATAACAGTTGGTGTTCGAACTAATCGATCGCGACATGCTAAAAAGTTTTAAAAAATTATTTATTTGTTGTTTTTTTTTAATAACAAAATGTCATCTGTTTTCTATTTTTTTTTGCGATTTACTTAAATATACTTTAACTGTTACTAACAAACAATGGAATCATATTACTACGCAAACAAATTACGACACCTTGAGCAACACGAATACAAGCAACATGAATGACATCAATAATAAATTCTTTTTTTTTGTTATTGCTCACCTTGACTCATACGTCTGACCAACAATGGATTACGTTGGTAAGTATATGAACGATCTCTTCGCCATGCATGTATATCATGTTTAACCGTATGTTCTTCGGAAGTCATTATGTCCTGTTGAGGTTCTTCGTCAAAAACATTATTGTTTTCTTCTGTCTTTTCTTCAATGGGTTCTTGTTGATTTGACATTATTTAGTTTTGATTTATAAGATACAGAAGCGGGCAAACACAATTGACAGATGTTTTGTTCTCATATACGAACAATCAGAGTTATATTGGATAAATTTTTTTATGACGATGCACGTAATCACTCAGCAACAATAACGATGCATCAATTAGAAATAAAGTGATTGTCGGTTTTTTCTTCTCGTTTTTCTCTCGTTCGTCTTCGTTTTTTTTTCTTTTCACAATTATACGTCGATATTTTTATATACTAAAAAGAAAATAAAACTTCCAAATAACCTCGTTCTTGTTATTTTCTTGACATTAAGGCATGTATATATATGTCACATGATGATATGTAGATTAACATCTCGTGAAAGAAAAACATGGATTGATAAAAAGAATATCTTATAAGAATAATCTATAGTTTTTCACGAGACTACTAACATTTAATCATACGATTGATGCATAGTTTTTTCCTTCTTTCTTTCGGCTTGCGAAGGAACAAAGAATTAGTAATCATTTTTTGTGTAGGAAGTAATCATAAGACTCTTTGTTCTTACTTCTTTATACCCATTTGTCAAGCAATACTCATTGTGTCTATTTTCATTTTATTTTTATCATTATGTTTTGATATTTGGTGTCAGAAAGAAAGATAAAACATAGCTTGAAAATATATTAGGTTATATAGTCGTATGAATAATTATCAACAGTTATTTATTTTATAATACAAAAATAGATAGAAAATGATATACGCACACATGTGTTTATTAGTACAAAGATAATTAATTGATTCGTTTCGATTTTTATGTAGTCATTTCTTCTATTGTTTTGTTTTTGTATATCTTATTTTTCTTTTCGCTCTATTAATTATGTTCGACATTGACGTCATGCAATGACGATATTTTGGAGATGTACTCATTAACAAAAATAAGGTTAGAAAAAAAAAACTAATTTCATTATCAAATCCATGAAAAGTAGGTAAATAGGACAAGAAAAATCAATAATATAGAACAAACTAACTTCATATGTATATAAGATAAGATTGCAACTAACTGCAAAAAAAATTTTTCTTTTTATATACTTACCTTTAGAAGGCATAGGAACATGTCGACATGTAGATGAACATTCAGATTGTTTTGTCGATGAAAGAAGATCACTTGAACTAAAATAATTATATATCATATTGAATAATTTAGTAAAAAATTGATTATTTTTCTTTGAAAATTTCAGCAACAATAGCAAGTTTTTATTTCTGTTGAATTCTCAAAAGATAAGATATTTTAGAATAGAAAAAGAAAGTTCATATATGAAAGATGCTATTGTTTTTTCTGTTGTTGATGTAAAATATTTCTGATTCTGATAAATAAAATGATGTTGTTAGCGGGAATATTTTGCTTGAGTCTAGTATTTATATGAACGTTTAATACATAAAAAAAGACACATGCAGACTATGTTAATCATTAGTGTAAATATTTTCTTTATATAGGTTGATGTAAACAAAAATCTTTCTGAAAGTATAGAAGGTTTATTAAGATTACGAGATCTTTCATGGAACCTGAGAAAAATCCTTTGAATTTTATGTTATATTAAACTCTAAAAAGTTAAATGATAGAAATAGTTTTAATATAGGAATATTAATACAAACCATCAATAGATGACGAGCATATAGTCTGAAAATAGAAATGTCCTTAATCGGCAATGTAGTTTTTTTTTTCCGTCCTTCAGTATTTTATCTCGTTCGTTCTTCTCGGTGGCCTTATACTTACTTGATTGAGAATAGTTTTTTGTAGTAAATCGAAGCTGTTACAGACTACGCAATTGGCACACGAGATTATACAAGTATTTGTTAGAGGATATGGGTTTTTAGTTAAGTAGCTATATTTAGTTTTTAAAACAAAAAACGACGGATACCTAGTATTGCAATATATGATTTACGTATAGATAATTGATTGGAATATTTTCAATATACCTCTGATTATTTGGTATCATGAAACTAAAAATTCAAATCTTCTAATAAATGTCTCAAAGCAAATATTCGAAATATAAAATATTTAATTTGTTGATTCATTTAAACTAGAATATATGATTATATCAAATGACACACTTATCAAATTCGATAAATAACTCGATAACCTTTTCTAAAGACAAAATCATATCATAAAATTTTCTCCCATGAAGTAACATGATAAGATAATTCGTTTAAAGATAACTAACCGTCATCCTATCTTATATTCTCACATATTAATTTGTATCTTCCATATTTGAAATGTATGCTCATCATTAAGAGTTATAGTTGAAGTAAAAAAGGATTGAAAATATTCGTATGTCATTGCATTAAATAATTATAATAAGTCAAAAACATATTTTTCGATCTCGGAAACTACTAGTCCTGACATTCACAATCATATTGCCTCCGGAGTTCTATTAGATATTATCACGCATTTATAATCTATTTTGTTCAGAGTCAAGGACTTTTCTTTTTTATCATAATTTCATTATAAACATTTGAGACATTTTTTTTCAACTATATTATTGTCACGTTTTATTTACAAAAGATATTTATTAAATTCCTGACACAATGATTCAAGAATATTCAATTAATTTTAAAATAGAAAAAAAGAAGTCTTTTAAAATGTATTAAAACATACTTACAATATCATTGGTTTCTCTATAAATTTTTATCGAATTTGATTATCTTGTTTAAATATAATCTGAATTGAAGTAAATTTAATCATTCGTTGAAAAAATAAAAGAAAAAATAATAATAAGACTATCTAATAATGATTAATGTCTATCTTAATATTTACATATATATATATATATTGTATGTTTATATACAATCCAAAAAATAGATTTCCAGAAAGCAAAAAAAAAGCAGAAAAATCACGAAAAAAAGCTGTTTTTGATTGTTCAATATCAACAAAAGCTTTAATTTATGAAAACATCTTTTCACTATTCATTGGTAATAATTTTTTCATTTCTATAATATCATATACCACCAAATTAACTATAAATAAAAACTTCAATAAAGAAAAATTTTTATCAAAACGTATTTTTTACTTATGTCATAGTGTAAATTGTTATCAAGAAGAAAAATTGCATAGCGACAACGTCGAATTCTCTAGCCATTAGCAGTTCTTTCATCAAATTCAGTATTAATAACACATTTTGATATTCATATTCCTTTGCTCCTTTACCTATAGTCAAATCCTGTACCCCATGAGAACTATCTAAAATAAGAAAGAACAAAAATAAGAGAAAATCGCAAATTCATTTTCTTTTACCTCTACAAATCCATGTGTAATAAACTGCATTTGTTCTACGTAACATAGTTTCTCAATAAGTTTTTTTGTATCAAATTCAATTCCTGTAGAAAATAGATTTACAGAAATATTTATTTGATAATAAATCTAATTCACTACTCTAGTTGAACTCTTTTTTTCACGTGCATATATAATTCTTGACCCAGGAAATCATGTAATATAGATATATCTTGAACTCTGTGCACATCAAGTACATAGAAAAATAAGACATTATTAAAAGCAAATAACTAGATGAAAATTTACAGCTGGAGTTGAATATCTCATTAACTATTGATCAATGATTGATTGGTTTTTTTGTCATTATCTTCTTCTTCCTCGTGTATTAATAAATTTATATCAAGTTCTTCATTAATTAGTAAAACCATAGTTATTTAATATATGACAATGTGCATGATGCAATCAATAAAACAATGAACAACCATTTACTTCATTATAATATATGTAATTATTGTTCCATAAAAATGCTCAGCTATTTGTTTAATTAGATTGACAATTTGATAGCCAGTAAGAATTTGAATTCGATAATATTTGTTAGGTTTACGACGAATAAGAATTTATATCAGAGAATTGGTCATTTAGAATAAAAAAAAACAACAGAGTCAAAAAAAAATTATTATTCTATTTCTGATGATGATCAGTTATAACGTAATTTTATTTGTTCAATACGCAAATTATATTTCAAATATAGACCACTACAGTGGAAGAATTATATCGAAAAAATATTCTTCTTTTTATACTTTTATGTAGTTGATTTCATGAAATCAGAGTTTCTTTTTTTATGCTTTTCTTTATTTGACAAAAAAGATGTCACTGGATGCAAGCAACGATGATTCATGTCAAATAAAATGTATGTATCTGTTGTTTGATTATTTTCTTATATGTGCGAAGTAAATTGAAAAACTTTTATATTATGAATATTTTCAGATTTCGATAAAACAAATAATATTTCCATTGCGCAAACATTTCAATAATCGGGTAAGAATAATTTTTTGCATACCTTTCAATTTTTTTTTCATATACATGTTGTATTGAATCAGTCATAATGAATAGAATACAAGTAGCAACGAAAAACAAAACAACATTTCATATAAAAAAATAGGAATTTTTTTTCGTTTTGAATCTATGTTTAGTGTCATTATCTGTAAATAGAATCTTGAAAAATCAGACGAATATATGGTTTTATATCTGATAAAGCCATTGAACAAAATGGACATACTGCTTTTAAACCTTTTGCTCCTAAAAATACGATAAAAAAAAACTATTTTCTTAATTTTCTTTTGTTCGAACTGCTTTTCTTTCTTACCATAAGGTACTTTAATTTTTGACCAATATAAAGCTGTAGACTGTGAAGTCATATGTCCACATGGATGCAGTGCATGTGATGTTGTTGTTTCATTATCATTATTTGGTATAACATAAAATGATGATTCCAATCCAGGTGTAATTGGTATTAATGAACTAACTGTTCGACAAAGTGGACATTCACGTAAATGATTATTATCATTGATGACACCCCATTGATGATTACCATGAACATGTCCACATGAAACATAAACATATGGATTTGAAAAATTTGATGATATTGATGAAAAAGTTGAAGTTTTTATAACTAATGTATTTAATCCAACAGGACATTGAGGTTTTTTTGAATTCAATTCATCTAATTCAAATTCAAGAAAACGACGAGTCTAATCGAAAATT